GCTGATGAACTGGGGTTGTGGCCCAGTGGTAGAGCTCTTGCCTAGCATGTGTAGGGTATTGGGTCCAATCCTCAGCACCACATAAAAATAAATAAATAAAATAAAGGCATAAAAAAACCTTGGGGCTGGTGACAAGTGCCCTAACCAACTCTGGAGATTTCCCTGTTTCTTCCTGCCTGGGCTAGGGCCAGCAACAGGGTAGCAGGTGCCCTCTACCTCTGGAGACAGAGGCCTATGGGTGTGAGCAGTGGGCCTCTTGAGAGCTGTCCTCTCTCCTTTTCCCCTAGAGCTTTATTCTTAATCAAAGCTTTGATTTTAAAATTGATATATGTTTTGAGAGTTTCCTTCATCACTGTATACAGTTGCTGGGGGGAGGAAGGCTGGTTGGAAAAGGATCTCAGGTTGGAGCAGAGGAGTGCTGCCTGGGAGGCATTTTGCTACACTGCCCCTTGTCGAGTGCCACCTACTGTGGAAATCTCTTTTTCAAGTTATCATGCAGTGTATTTAAGGCGTTTCAAACCACCTTATTGATAAAAAGTGGTTAAAAAGAGAAATTATGCAATAAAACAGAGACTGATAGCAGCAGGGTTCAAGCTGTTGGGAAACAGACATGGCCTGAGGATGTACAGCACCTGGAGGGTGAGCTGTTGAAAGGGTTGGGGCCTGGTGCTAGCACAGAGGTCTGGGCAGAGCTGGTAGGGCTCAGGGAGGGGGGAGTGTGAATTGGGTTTGAGGGCACAAGATGTGGGAAGGCTTCTTGGAGGACGTTGTCCCTGATCTGTTTGGAGGGACGGGAATCACAAGTCAGGAATGGAGGGCAGAGCTCTTGTGCCAGGTTGGCCAGACAAATGCTCCTGCAGCATTGGTGTGGAGGACTGTGATGAAGTCTTTCACAGGTGGCCCGCACAGTTATTTGATGTGCCATGCAGCTGGGAATGCAGCTCTGTAGTAGAGCACTTGCCTAGCATGTGAGGCCCTGGGTTCAGTCCCTAGCACTGCCAGAAAAATAAGTTAATGATTTTCTGAGCCATGCATGGAATCTTATGACTATAATTGGTCCTTGTTTTTTCATTAAACATGTATTTCATGGACAGGAAGGATGGCAAGTTCGAGGCCAGCCTCAGCAACTTAGTGAGGCCCTTAGCAACTTAGTGAGAATCTGTCTCAAACAACTTTTAAAAAGGGATGTAGCTCAGTGGTAAAACACCCTGGGTTAATATCCAGTACCAGGAAATAATAAAATTGAATCCACTCTATGAGGGACAAAAATCCACTGCCCTTCCAGGTGCTATTTTGAGGAAGAATGGCCTTCATTTGGATGTTTTCATTTAAGTGTGTAGATATTTTATTTAAATATAAGTATATACACACACACACACACACACACACACACACACACATACACACACACACACGAAATATTTATTTTTTCAGTTGTAGTTGGACACAGTACCTTTATTTTATTTATTTATTTTATGTGGTGCCAAGGATTGAACTTGATACCTCACATGTGCTAGGCAAGCACTCTAACACCGGGCCACAACCCCAGCCCCAAATTTATATATATTTAAAGATATTAACTACGGAGGTTTTGCCATTTAGAGGTAAGTATTGGCTTACTTGAAATATGTCCTTGGACAGCTTCCTTGAGGTGCCTTGAACTATCTCAGTGTATCTATTTCACTTTTGTCCTAGAACTCTCTCCTGTCTCTGTTCCTTCGGGACATGTAACTATGGGGCTATGATCCCTAGCCCTCTCATTTCTGTTGGCTAGTATCAGAGGTATATATGAGTTTAGTTCACTCTCTTGTGGCTTTTTGGCTTTTTGAGAATACTGAGACTATTTTTTTTTTAAAAAAACTATATCTCTGTTTTAAGAGAAAAATTACAAAGATTTAAAATCTACATTGAGTGTAGAAAAAGTGCCATTTTGATTGACACAACATAAAACTAACACCTCCTACTTAGAAGTCTAATGAAATATGTCACCATGGTTTTTTGTTCTTTTTTTTTGTTCAGTAAAATAAAAATTGGGGGGCCGGGGATGTGGCTCAAGCGTTAGCGTGCTCTCCTGGCATGCGTGCTGCCCGGGTTCGATCCTCAACACCACATACAAAGATGTTGTGTCCGCCGAAAACTAA